TAACATAATAAAAAAAATAACTTTAGACAAATGAAAAGGAAAACACAATACATATAAACATTTATGAGGTAAAGCAAAAGAACTTCTTAGAAGCAAACTTATAGTTGTAAACGCTACATGGAACAAAATCTTAAATCAATAATCTAACTTTACATAATAAACAAAGTAGAAAATAGGAAGTCATAATGAAAAAATAAAGCAAATGAATTACAAATGAAACCACAAGTCAGTTCTTTGAATAGATCAGCAAACTGACAAAGTTTTAGCAACGAAACTGGATGATTTACATGAAATAGAAAAATGTCCAGAAACACACAAACTACCAGAGCTGACTCAAGAACAGAAAATCAGACTTAAAACATGTAGTGAGATTAAATTAGTAATCAAAAACCTCTCAACAACGAGAAACCAGACTTTTAAAGAATTAACACCACTCTTTCTCAAACTCTTCCAAGAGTTGAAGACATAGGAATAATTCCTAACTCATTCTATGTGGCCAGCATTAACCTACTACCACGGCCAGATAAAGACATCACAAGAAAATTACAGACTGATACCCCAATAAATATTTATGCAAAAATCCTCAATAAAATATTAGCACGCTGAATTCAGTAGCAAAACAGGAGCATATACACCATGACCAGGTAGGATTTATCCCAGGAATTAATGCAAGGGTGGTTTAACATGAAAATCAATCAAGGTAATACACCATTAACAAGATGAAGAATAAAGAAACCTATAATCATCTCATTTAATGCAGAAAAAGTATTTGACAATATCCAGCTCTCTTTCATAATAAAAGCACGCAACAAACTACAAACAGAACAGAACTCCCTCAACATGATAAAGACCATATATGAAAACCCATAGCTAACATATACTCAACGGTGAAAGTCTGTAAGTTTTTCCTTCAAGAAAGAACAAGAAAAGCACACCCGTTTTTGCCACTTCTATTCAATATAATATTAGAAGTTCTAGCCACAGAAATTAGGCAAGAAAAAAAAGGCATCCAAATTGGAAAGGAAGAAGTAAAATGATCCCTGTCAGAGATGACAAAATCTTACATGTAGATAACCCTAAAGAATGCACGCACACATGTGCACACACAGACACACACACACAGAGCTAATTCATGAATTCAGCAAAGCTGCAGGTTACAAAATCAGCTGCATTGCTATACACTAACAATGAACAATCTGAAAGGAAATTAAAGCAGTTACTTTTACAATAGCAGGAAAATCGTTAAATATTTAGGAATAACTTTAAGGAGTTGAAAGACTTACACACTGAAAGCCACACAACTGCCAAAGGAAATTAAGACATAAATAAATAGAAAGACACCCTGTGGTCATGGATTGGAAGACTTCCACTGTTCCTGTCAGTACTACCTAAAGTGATCTCCAGATTCATTGCAATCACTGTTAAATTCCCAATGGCATTTTTTCAAGAAATAGAAAAACCCATCCCAAAATTCATATGGATTCTGAAGGGACCCCAAATAACCAAAACAATCTTGAAAAATTACAGTTGGAAGACTCACACTTCTTGATTTCAAAACTTACTACAAAGCTACAGAAATCAAAACGATGTGATACTAGAAAAAGGAGAGACATATATACCAGTGAAACAGAACAGAGTGACAAGAAATAAACCTTTGCAAATATAGTCAACTCATATTCAACAAGAGTACAAGGTCCATTTGGTGGGGGAAAGGAAAGCCTTTTCAACAAATGGTGCTGGGAAAACTGGTTATTCACATGCAAAAGCATGATTCTTGAACCCTTACCTCATACCATATATAGAAATTAAACTGGATGAAAGGCCTAACATAAGAGCTAAAATTACTAAACTCTTAGAAAGAAATGGGAAAGTTTCACAACATTGGATTTGGCAATAATTTCTTGGCTATGACACCGAGGAGATGGGCGACAAAAGAAAAAACAGATAAACTGGTCTTCGTGAAAATTAAAAACTTGGTGCATCAAAAGACACTGTCCGGGGGCACCTGGGTGGCTCAGTCGGTTAAGCATCTGCCTTCGGCTCAGGTCATGATCCTGGAGTCCTGGGATGGAGCCCCATGTCAGGTGCCCTGCTCAGCAGGGAGTCTGCTTCACCGTCTCCCTCTGCCCCTCCCTTCCACTTGTGTTTTTTCTCTCTCTCTCAAATAAATAAATCTAAAAGAAAAAAGACACTGTCCACAGAGTAAAAAGGCAATCCATAGAACGGGAAAAAGTATTTGCAGATCACATTATCTGATAAGGGATTAAAATCCAGAAAACACAGAGAACTCCTAAAACTCAATAAAACAAACAACGATTAGAAAAACAGGCAAAGGACTTGAACTGCTATTTCTCTAAAGAAGATCTACAAATGGCCAGTAATCACATGAAAAGAGGCTCCACATCCCTCATCATTAGGGAAATAGTAATCAAAACCACAGTGAGACACCACAGTGGTATTAGGATGGCTACTATTAAAAACAAACAAAACAAAAAGTGTTGGCAAGAATGAAGAGAAACAAACCCTCGTGCACTGCTGGCAGGAATGTAAAGGGGCAAAGCCACTGTGGAAAACTGCGCAATTCCTCAAAGAGTTAAAAACAGAATTACCATATGATGCAGTGATTCTGCTTCTGGGCATTCTTGCAAAGGAACTGAAAGCAGAGACTCAAAAAGCGACACTTGCACACCTAGTTCACGGCAGCAGCGCTCACGATGGCTCATAGGTAGAAGCAACCCAAGTGTCCTTCAGTAAATAAATGGATACAGTGTGGTGTGCACATACATTGGAGTATCATCCAGCCTTAAAAAGAAGGACATTTCGACACATGCTATAATATGGATGAACCTTGAGGACATTATGGTGAGTGAAATAAGCCAGTCACAAAAAGACAAATGCTGTAGTACTCCACTTCTATAGGAACCTACAGTAGTCAAATCTGTACAGACAGAAAGTAGGATTGTGGCTGCCAGGGACTGATGGGGGTGGGGGGTGGGTGGGAAGTTCTTTTTCAATGAGGACAGAGTTTCAGTTTTGCAAGATGAAAAAACTCTGGAGATGCATGGGGATGATGGTTGAACAATATTAATGCTTAATGCACTTAAAACTAGCACTTAAAAAGGGCTAAGATGGCAAATTTTATGTCATATATTTTGCAATTAAAAAATTGGAAAAAGAAATAATTTTTAAATTTTAACTGAAGTGTAGTTGACATAAAATACTAAATTAACTTAGTTTAAGGCGTACAACGTTGTGATTCAAGATGCATATACGTTACAAAATGCTCACCATGATAAGTTTATTACAATACTGCTATGTTCCCTGTTTCCTTCTCATCCCCCAAAAGAGTAAAGTCAACCTGCGGCACAGCTGTACGTTGAAAACATTATGCTGAGTGAAATGAGCCAGACAGGAAAGGGCAAACACTACATGATGCCACTTCTGTCCACAGAAAGTAGAATGAAAGTTAATAGGGGCTGGATAAGCAGAGGCACCAGAGACGGGGCCTGGAGAGTATTTTTCTTAGAGGTTTCTATTTGGGATGAAGAAAGTTTTAGAAATGGATGGTGTGATGGCCGCACAACATTGTGAACACGTGGAGTACTACTGAATTACACACTTAAAAATAACTGAAATGGTGAACGTTATGTTATATAGATTTACCACAGTAAAAATAAAAAATATTTTAAAAAATCTTGGTAAGACTCCCTGCCTTTCCAACAAGGAGACTAGCGAGCTGGTGAGATGGGGTACGGCCTGCATGGGTATGAGAGCCCGTGTGCTGGAGTGACGGCGACAGGGAGACTCGCCCGCCCGGGCCCAGGGGGAGGACCCCGCGGGGCCAGGGGGCCGGGCTGAGGACTCTCAACTTGATGACAGAATATACCAGAGAGGGGGTTTGAGGCATTAGGGCTCCAGGGCTGCCGCTGTCTGAAGAGAGCTGCTGTCACTGGTCACTTGGAGGACACAGGGAGGCTCGGGCACCGCGTGTTTGGCAGGAGTGCAGAGAGCACTGGGGCCACAGCGGACAAGACGGACTGACAACTGGGCCGAAAAGCCAGTCCCAGCACATTTTAAAGAACGGCAAACACCCAAAGTCAGTTCTCTTACACGGTTCAGTTAGGCTAAAAAGCAGTAATAAAAAGAGTATGAGGAAATTAATAACTATATTGCTTCCAACCACAGTGGAAATTACAAAATAATTTGAACTGAAGGTTAAAGAAAATGCTATATATCATCAAAATCTTTAGGATCCAGATAAAACCATGAGAGGGATTTTTATAGGTTGAACGCCTGTATTATAAAACCGAAAAGGCTGGAAATCAATGACCTGCACATCTCAAACATTCTCGAACACCAAAAGCCGCCCAGACATGGAAGGAGATAATAAAAGGAGAAACTAATGACACATAAAAAGTATTATCAGAGCCAAAACGAGTTCTTTGAGGAGGCTAATAAGGTTTATGAGCCCCTAAGGAGGCTGCACGGGAGAGGGAGGGAGGGGCACGTGCGCAAAAGCCACCATCAGAAACAAAAAACACAACATCACTACAAACTGCGAAGACAGGATGTTATGAGCAGCTTACGTCAATTAATTTGAAAACTTAAATTGAAGTATTTACCAAATGTTAGAAAAGCAGGGCTTAACAGAAAGAAAAAACAGAAAATCCAAATGGCACAGAAAGTATAAAAGGAATTGAACCCGTAACGAAAACCTTACCCTCAGGGGACGGAGAGGTGTGAGCAACACAGCAAAATGCCAGCCACGGCGTGTGGGCGGGGGCCCACGCACGCTCACTGTGCAATTTCCAACACTTCTGTATGTTTGAAAGTTTTCAAAACAAAAGGTCACAGGGAACCTCCCGCACTCACAGAAAGACCTCGCAGACCAGACGGGGTCACCAGTGGGCTCTGCTAAACATTCCAGGAAGAAGGGACACCACCTTGCACAACCGCCCCCTGAAGCCCGAGCAGGGACCGCTCCTCCCGGCAGGTGGTGAAGCTGGCCCAGCGCCGTCACGGGGACGCATCGCACGACGGAGCCCAAGACGGCAGCCCCGCGCCCCTTCCGCCCAGGCAGCCCGCGCCCGCTGCGCCCCACTTACGGCCTGCGCCTCGCCCGCAGCCGGGGGCCAGCCCGCCGTGACCTCCAGGCCGTGCAGCCTCTGCGTCTGCTTCAGCTGGTTGAGCGAGGGCTTCAGCTGGGTGGCCCCCACCGTCTTGCTCGTCCACTCGTCCACCAGCTTGTGCAGGTCGTCCGTGAAGGTGCCTGTCTTGTTGTTGCTGTTGTTTGCCTGGGCCTGGACGTGCAGGGTGGGCTGGGGGCCCGGCTCGGGGCCGGGGACCAGGCTGCTGGTGGAGGACCCTGGGGAAGCACACACAGGCCGGGTTGGCGACCTGCACACAGCGCCGCCGACCTGCTGCATCATTCATACAGTGGTCTTGCTTAGGCCAGGCAACACCTTGCTTCAGGAGATGGTCTGCATTTGGGGGCCCGTGTGCCAGCTTTAGACACTTTGGAACCTGTCCACAGGCCATAAGGACTAGGCCGTGCCGGGCCAAAGGACAGGACCCGAGACGCTGCCAGCCTTACTCGGCATCCGCTCTGCCCATGCTGCCCAGGAACCCCAGACTCCCCCGTGTGAGGGAGCTCAGAAAACTGGGGGCAGACCCCCAGGCTTCTGCGCCCTGAGCGGGAACACACGTGAGAATGCCGAGCGCTCAGCCCGCGGTAGCCACTGCCATCCCCCCGGCAAAGGGGAAAGGCCTGAGAGGCTTGGTCGTCGGAATGCTAGTGGATTAGTGGTTTGGGAGTTTAAGACACAAAATTGTGCCTCTCCTCACCAGAGCATGTAAGGAAGGTATTAATAAAGAGTGCAAACACCCGACACCTTCAACTTTGGGCCCCCAAGCTCGGAACCGTTTGCGGGGTGCAGAGTGTCTGCACCAGCAGGAACCGGGAGGCCCGGGGGCTGTGGTTCGGGGAGGGGAGGCCGCACAGAGAAGTCACACTCATCTGCTTCACTGAAGGATTAATTTTAAATGACCAACATGGGACTTTTTAGTTCTTTTTAGACTGTGACCCCCACCCCCACAACATAGAATTTTTGATGAGCAATTTAGAATAAGCCCATTTAAAATGTTTCTGCATTAAAAAAATAGCGTAACGACCATCTCCTCAAACAAGCCGTTGCAAAATGTAGTCTAGAGTGGCTAGCAATGAAAAAGCAGACACAAACAGTTCAATATTAGTGATGGAATTTAACACACACAGAGCTATTTCTACATGAATGTTTCAGCCAGAAAAGAAAAAAGGAGGGGAAAAAAAAAAAAGGTGTGAGGTGAGGGTGGTGGGCGGCCTAGGTGGACTGATACCCATTTCATCCAGGCATCTCTCCTCGGGGGCACTCATCTTTAGCACTTCAAGGACATACTCATTCCTACGGTTTTGGAAAAGGAGCCAATTAACGATTGGTAATGTGTGGACGTTCCGGGGAAGGGGAGTGTCAGCGTGTCAACCGGCCAGGACACATAGATTCTAGGAGCCATGGAGACGCGAGGGGCACCCGTGGATGGCTTTCCCTCCAGGCAGAGGCAAAGCAGTGCCCCTGGAGGGTGGGCGCGGAGCAGACGCGCGCCCGCCGGCCGCGGAGACCCTGATGTGCACTAGCCACATGAAAGCCCATGCGATGGAGAGCAGACAAGGGGTAAAAAACCCGATAATTACGACTGCTGTGCTCTTTGCCTAGACAGAGACGCTTCAGGGCAGACCCTGCAAGGGAAGAAGAAACGACACAAGACCACAGGGTTAGGCAGGACAGCACACACGGGGGACGAGCCACCACACTCTAAGCACAAGTCATCAGTGTGCAAGGAAGAGCAAAGGCCAGCGCTTCAGAGAGGGGACCAGCCACCTGGGCTAACCGGGCGGCCCCGAGTCAGTGTGCGGGTTCACGTGAGCTTCGCCGAGGGCGGAAGTGCAGGGCCAGGCCCCAAGCTTCAGGTAGAAGTGAGTGTGTCTCTAAAAGCGTATTCAAAAAAAAAAAAAAAGAAAAAAGAAAAAAAACAAAAAAGCAAAGCACACCAGTTGGTTTTCAAACAAGAGGCTTCTGGAGCCCCACTGATTGGGGCAAAAAACACCCTAAAAGTCAGCCAGGAGAGCTCAGTGGAGCCCCCCGGCTCTGCCTGCCCCATAGGCCCATGGGAGATTGTTTTCCAAGTGCAAAAAGATACATTGTTTTGCAGGTTTGAGGCCAATCCCAGATCCCAGGCGGCTGCCATGACCAGACCAGTGGTACACGTCGGAGGGAAAGTACAGGGGTCCTATCTGGGGAGGCGGGAAGCAGGGCTGGCCCCAATTTCCTGCGCTGCTGCTGCCTCATCTGGTATCCCGAGTCCACTGGGACAGGGAGAGGCTCGTCACTCTTCCTTCACTAAGCGTCAGGCCCTGCGGTCCTGGAGGCTGTCCGTGCTGCCCAGCACGTCCTGACGGTCAGTGCCCACCTGGAGGGCAGACGAGCTGGCCCTTCAGGGAGCCGGGCAGGCACAGTGGGACGGGCAAGAACGGCTCGGGCGTCCCCAAGGTCACTCAGCAAGGCTGCGCTATCAGAGAGGGTCAGAAAGGGTCGGCGTTCCCGCCCCAGCCCCTCACCTGAGCAGGACCCCCCCACCCCCGACTCCCTGAGGAGTTGCCTTGCACCTTGCCAGGGAAGGCAGCTTGCCACCTCTGTGTTTGAGAAGAGAGGACAAAGGTCAGCCCAGGCTCCAAATGAATTGTTCTTCTAGTTCAAAAGGGAGATGATGTTCTGTTGGGGTCTGTAATGTGCAATAACAACGAAGGGGCCAGGCAGGAGTGGTCCGGACCAGTCGTCTCTCAGTGGGAGCTCTGCAGGGCCTTTGCCGGTCTGTGTCCTGCATGGAATCCCACTGGGAGCACCGGGCCCTTTGGGGCCTCCGTGGCACTCGGGTCCCAGGCTCTGACTGTGCAGGGCAACAGGTGAGGCGGACTTCCCCAGCCAGATCCTGTGGCCTCAGCAGTCCCATACAGACGGCCCAAGGACACGGGGTCAGCCAGCCAGCCAGCTCCCCGCAGCCTGACAGCCGCGCGTTCTTTCGGGGCTGATTCCCACCATCCTCTCGACAAGAACAACGGGAGCTGCCTGCTGGGAACCACCAGAGAAGCCTGGGCCTGAAGTCAGGGCCCCAGAGGTGGGGCCACCGGCCCCCATGCTCAGAGCTGGAGAGCAACACTGGCCCACAGAGGCCTGCACACCCTCACTGGGCAGGGCCCACAGGGAGCACAGACACTCCCCGCCCTCAGTGAGCTTCTGATCAGAAACGGACTCCACACCAAGATCGTGCCGTCCGCACAGTGCAGAGCCGCAGCCGAGCACGGACGTGTCTGGCGACGAGCCCTCGCTCATGCCACAGCCCTGCCCATCCTCGGGGGTCCCCTGAACCTCCTCCCCAGTGCCTGTGCCCTGCCCTGACGCCCAGCACGCAGATGGCTGATGCACACTCCACCCAGCCCCACGCAGCTCCCTCCACGCCAGCGCACACACTGCACTCCTGCCCGGGCCGCAACGCAGGGGCACCGGGGACGCACGGACCCACAGGAAACCCATACGCGGCAGGAGGCCTCCCCTGCAGGACTTCTGTCCTTAGCCAAGGCCTTGGGAAGAGCCGGCTTGAGGCCCAGAACTACCTGGGGAAGCTTCCACCTGGGCGGGGCTGCAGATGGAGAGCCATGTGGCCAGCTGCTGGGAAATGTTCTCCCAGGCTGCGAAAGGGCCGGGGATCTCTGGAGGGGACACGCAAGCTGTTTCTGTGTGGACGGCCAGCCCTGCCAGGCACCGCCACCATCCTGACCCTCGCCTGGCTGCCAGGAAGATGCCGCAAATCCAAGCTTCTCTGCCACGGACAGACTGCTGGGGGGGGGGCCGGGCCTCGGGGCCCTCAGCACACTTGCCACGGCCTTCAAATGCTGAGGCGGCTCACGGGGGGCTCCAGGGGCGGTGGCCTCGGCGCAGACCAGCCGGGGGTCTCCCTGCTCGCCCCGTGAGGAGGCCCGCCACCAGCCGGTCGGGTTCGCCCTGCACAGTGGCACCAGATGCTCAGTCCTGGCGCCAGCACCATACGAACTGGCCCCAGAGCAGGCCCACCTCAGGGTTTCTCTGTAACGAGCCATCAAGTCCTCACCGCGCCGAGCAAAGTGCCCGAACTAGCCCGTGAAGCACGAAATGGGAGGCGTCCCTGCTCGGCCCTGCCCTGCGCAACTGCCCCAAGGACAGCCCAGCCCGGGCGCCCGAAGGCCGTCTCCCAGGCCCCGTGCAGCGGGTCCCCACAGGGAGGGTCCAGGACAGCACAGGGCGAGGGCAGGGCCTCGGGGGCCGCAGGGACAGAGCCGCTGCTGCATGGACGGCAGGCTGACGGTGCGCGAGAACGCACATCCAAAGCTCGCCGTGCAGATGCCCCGGAGCCGTCGGCGCCTGGGTCTCAGCAGGAGCCAAAGGGGGGGGTGGGGGGGCGCCTGATGCCGCGCCCCCGAATCCCGAAACGTGGGCCCCAGGTTGCCCTAAGCCCTCCCATCGGCCACAAGGAGGTGTCTGTGCCCAGGGCCTCACCCTGTCTGCGCTCCGTGGGGGCCGGCCCTCCCCTCCCAACAGCCGGCCCGTCCGGGGGCCCACCCCGAGGAGGCACCCAGGCTTTGCCCTTTGCACGCTCTTCCTCCCAGGCCCGGCCGCCTTTCCCGCATGGGGTCCCCTCCTGGCGCCCTGCTCGTCTCCGACCCGGCCCGGGCGCCCTCAGGGACTCTGCACATCACAGAACTGTTATAGTCTTGTAACTTAACACAGACTGTTTTCCCGGAGCCATGCAAGGCCGGGCACAGAAGGCCTCTGGGCTTCTCTAGCTGCAGGCCGCACCAGCTGCACCCACATCCCGCGGCTGCAGCCCCCCCTTGCCGCTGGCCCGGATCCCGGACGCCCAGGCCCCAGAGCAGGCCCACCTCGGGGTCTTCCCGCAGCCCTGCCCTGAATGCCCTTCTCTCTGCCACGTCTCGGCCCTTGGGGCTGTGACCAGGCTTTCACGGGTACCTGCGCAGCCTCCTCGGGCCTCCGAGCTCCCCAGTCAGCAGGAAAGCAGGCGACTGGCTCCCGGAGAGGCCGCGGGCTGGGCAGACCCCGGCGCACACGGCCTGGAGGGTGCGTCTTCACACACCCTTAGGCCACACGTCTGCAGGGGACACAATCTGCCACGTGCTCTCCTGACCAGCAACCTCAGAGCCTGTGGGGGCCGCGCTGTGGCCGAGGCAACCAAGAGCTCGGCCAAGTCGTGCTTGAAAAGGACCATTATAGAAACAGCGACGTCACGGGGTGCATAGCACCGGAGAAGACGAGGCCACCAGGCTGGCACACACCACCACCCAAAATCAGCCCCCCTGGGCCAGGCGCCCCGGCCGCCACCAAGCCCTGCCTTGCATGTTCCTTTCCTCTTGGCCACAGAGACAGAAGTAAAGCCTAAACCACTTGTCCCTGATGTGCCTCCAATTTTTTTTTTAATCTTGGAATAACAACAGCAAAACAAATGAAGGCCCCTAAACAAGAATGCAGAACCACGCGGGTATGAACGTGGAGCGGGGACCTGAGAGGAGCACAGGGTGCCTGACCGCTCACACCTTTCCACCCCACACACCCCAGGGAAAACACCACCTGCTCTAACCACTCCCTTCCCGCGCCTGACCAGAGCTGTTCCCAGCAGCAATGCAACCGCCCATCGGACCACGAGATGCCCGGAGACCCAGGTGCCCTCCCCACATTGTCCCCAGGAGACAGCCACGCGCTCTCGGGCAGAAGAGGACCGGCGAGTGACCCAGGGAGAGGGATGCGCTCAGACCTCACCCCCCCCGCCCCAGCTCAGCAGCTAACCAACGGCTCAGTTGGGACACCTGTTAGGAGATGAGGACCACTGGACAGTCCCTGGGAATCGCTGTGGTTCTGTGCCTCTGACCTCTGCTACCTGGGGGAGGGTGACATGGCCCCTCTGATGGGGATGGATGCCCACAGTGGACGTGGCCTCAGGTCCCGACAAACACAATGTATCTTTATTGTACCAGCAAAAAGCCACGTGCCCCAAACCAGCATTTCCAACCCAATTGAGCGAAGTTTAATTTTTGTGTTAAACAAAAACCTGAAAACCCCACAGCTTTGGATTCATTTTCCAATCGTTCTGAGGGAGGAAATAACTTTGGATGGCCCTGAGCAGGTGCGCCCTTCCTGGACAGGAGTCCTGGGTGCCAGCAGGACATCCCAGGAATCTGAGGGCCACCGGGGCTGAGGTTTGGCTGAGCAGAGCTCGGAGGAGCTGTGTGACCGACTTCGTGTCAGGTCTGTGAGGTGAGAGCGGTTCACCAAGTCAAGTGCTCCAGCTAGAGACCAGGAGGGGCCGGGCCACAGGGAGAGCCAGCGTGGAGGCCGGGACTTGCCAGGACCCCGAGAGGTTCCCCAGGTGCCCAGAGCGCAGGGAGGGGCGGGGTGTCCCAGCTGGAGCACCTTCTCTCAGCCTTTCCACATGCAGGGAGCGGGCGTGGGGTAACGGTGCTGAGTGCTGCAGCCCTTGTACAGAAGTCACACCCTCCAGTGACCTTCTAGAACTGTCTCAGCTCGCTACATGCAAGTCTTCAGAATCCAGACGCGTGTGAGACACACCACGCGTCTAGAGAAGGCCGGGGCTGTCTTTTTGTTGTCGCTGGAACTGGGGACAGTGGACGTGCGTAGGCACCACAATTGCAACAGAAATAAAACTACGTCCAACGCAAAAAATACAAAATTAAACAAACGGGTGAGGAGAAAAACGCAGAGCGCTTCGGGGGCCTGGGGGGCAGGGGGCCTGAGGCCGGGGGCGGGTGAGCCGCTGCACATGCTTCTGGTCCCGGGCGTGAGCTGAGTGCATGCGCCGGCCCATTCGGGGCCAGGAGGGCGGGTGTGGGCAGGGCCCTGCGCTTGGTGGTGAACGGTGGCTGCAGTGGGTGGGGAGGCATCCTACAGAATGTACGGAAGGTGATGAAGACAGGGAGGGGCAGGGAGAAACCAAGGGCCAGGAGGTGATAAAATACAAAGAACAAATACAGACAGATGGACACAGACACGGGTCCACTGAGGAATCGAGCGCGAGGTTTGCTACTAGACTTATAGGTCAGTCTCTCAGACGTTGGGTGGTAAACCGTCCAGCCTGCAAATGAATATAGAGGGAAGAGAACAAAGAGACAGGCATCAAGTACAGTCTCTGGGACTCGTGCCTCACACCACCAGCCACATCAGCCTCGTCACCTAGCATCCACGGCTGTGCCTAGCCCAGCCCGGAGGACCACGGCCGCCGACCACGTAATGGAAAGGAGGCACCGCTGGAGCACAAGAGAAGCGGACCCTGGGAGGGCGTGCGGGGCGGCCGGGGCGGGCGCCGTCAGCGGTCCCCACGACTTCTCTGGACAGAGATGGTGGGGATGGAGCCCCTGCTCGCGCAGCTGCTGCGCCCACGGCCGAGGTGACGAACACTTCCTCCTCGAGGCAAACCCCCAGCTCGGAAGCCGAGCCCTCACATCCCCCCAGCCGTCCCTCCGGACAGAAGGCCCCGTGTTTAGCAGGCAGCCGGGCCAGTGCCTGGGGACCGGCACGGAGCACACGGCCGACACCCGTCTGCCAGGCGGTCCCGGCGCCTTCCCCGGGGCGGCTCTAGCAAAGCACGCCTCCCGCTGAGCCGCACGCAGCCGGACTCGGGGACGGGTGGGCCACCCACTCTCTTTACTCAGAGGCTACGTCTACCGGCTTTTCCTCCCGAAGCTGTGGGCAGCCTCTGCAGCTGCTCTCGCCCCCTCACTCCACGGGGGCCCTGCGCGGCTAGCACATGCTCGGAGACGGGCAAGCTGGGAATCACCTGGGCCGTGCGCTCCGCCTCCATCACTGGCTAAGCCGGAGCAGATGTCTGCAGACAGGGAGGCCCGCATGGAGCAGGGCTGCTGGGTCTGAACTGCCTTCCCACACGGGTCTGAAGCTGCCGCGGGCCCTGCCCCGGCTTGGGCAGGGTCCTTAGCAGGAGGGGCTCTGCTGCAGTCTGACAAGTGACCTGGGGGAGGGGGAGAAGGGGTGACGGGCACAGTGAGGCGCTGCGGGTCAGACCAGCCAGCGCGGAGTGCATCTGTCCTCCCTGCTCGTTGCTGGGTGACCTTGGGGAAGCGGAGTCGCTGCAGGCAAAGGGCACGGGGCCTAGCGGCCGAGTGCAGGTGTCAGGAAATTCGAGACCGACTGCCCACGCCCTGCCAGGCTTAAGGCGTGCTGTGCGGAGCCAGGACCACGGCACGTCTGGAGAGGCACACCCGGGTTCAGGAGGCCTGTGACGGACCTGCTCACTCTAACCAGTTTCCAGTCTGCTTTAGGAATCCTCCTGGAATTCACATAACCTGTGTAACTTGCAGTTCCCGGCCGTGTACCCTGCGGGACCCCCATGACACCAAGAGGGCAGCTTGCAGCCGGCTTCCCGCCCGGCACGCTGGGGGATTCCAGCTCATTCGGTCTCGGCCGCAGAGTGCGGGGGTCGGTGTGCACCCTCCGTGCCTGGGCGTCCCCCCCAGCCCCCGTGCCCGTCTGCTCTACTCCCCACTTTCAGCAGGTGACAGGTGCCTGAAAAATGGCCAGAGGAAGCAGCCCAGACCCAGGCAGCGCCCTGCAGGGGGTGGGCAGGCGAGAGACCTGAGCCACCGCCTCCCGCGCACCGGGCAGCCCCCAGGCGGCTGAGAGATGCGAGCAGGCCCGACTCACGGGGGGCCAGCGGCCTGGCCCTTCACACCTGCAAAGGCTTCCCGGCCCCCATGAAGGGAGATCCAAGACGTGCTCTTCCAGGGGTGGGCGCCTGCCCCCGCCCGCCCAGCGGACGGCCGGGAGGGCACAGACCTGTGCTGGAGGCCACGACCTTGAGCTGCTGCACCAGCGGGTTGAGCAGCTTCCCCGCCTTCAGCTTGCTCTTGCTCTTTCTCCTGCGGCCGGCGGGAGGGGCCGTGTGGAAGAGGCCCAGGTTGGGGGGCAGCGGCTTGCCCAGGCGGCGGTACAGAGCCTCGATCTCCTGCTTTTGCTGGCTTTGCAGCTCCGAGATCTCCTTCAGGTGCCTGCAGGAGGGAAGGGAGGGCGGTGGGCATCCTGAGCTGTCCACCAGAGCCCTGGGCAGGCAGGCAGGGCGCGCAGCCGCAGGGCCCACGGACCAGGACCGCTCAGAGGCAACAGGTGCATTCAAGACTTCCAGTCTTCCTCTGCACCAAGAGGGCCCCGCTGGGGGTCTCCTGCACACACACCCCCCCAACGACGCTGAGGGCACAAGGAAGAGCCTCAGGAGATTCAAGTTCTCACGACGCTGCCGCTTTTAGTGGTTGGGGAGTTCACATCTACGCTCACAACACACACCCTACAAACCCCAGTGAAGAGAAAAACAGCCAGAACTGAGAGGCTGCCTCAGCCCTTCCAGCAAAGTGTCATTCCTCTGAGTGAGGGAGCCATAGGGGAGGCGCTGCAGATGACGCCACGTGAGCAAGGAGCAGCCAGGGTCCTGCCGGGGGGCGCCCTGCACAGCCAATTCCACGCCCTGGATACACGGCCATGAAGACCCAGGTGCAATTACTGACTGTGGGCGAGGGAAGCTTCTAGAACAAGCCAGAGAAGGGGACCCACTGGCCTAGCCCACAGCCACCGTGCTTGCCCGCCTAAAAACCCTGGGCCTGATGCCAGCCCCTCAGACGTGTCTGATGGGCCTGGCTGCCCTGGTCAGGGGGCTCAGCCCCTCCGCCACACCCGGGGCCCATCTTCTCAGTGCGTGGTTGGGAAACGGGGGTTTCTCGTGGCTGGACCACAGGAAGCAAATTCTGATTTCACCTCTGTTATCCTCAATGCCTGCGAGACTTTAGGAAGATGATTCTAAACAGCAGATTGCTTTCTGCATCAGATTCGCCTCTGATGGGGTGATATTTTGAGGTGAAATTGCTGAGGGGGAGAGGGATGGCAGGTCACCTGGAGCATTTGACTCAGGAGGACCTGGGGGAGACCCCCACTCGGAGGCTCCTGTTCCTCGGGCTGCGGCAGGCATCTCAAAGCGCAGGGTTCCTGGGGCTCTAAGAACCACAAGTGCCCCCCAGCCCGGGCCGGGCACCACTGTCCCCCACAGTGCCCACGGGGTCTGAGCAAGCAAGGCTACCTTCTATCAGGTGCCGTCAGCTCCCCTCAATTCAGGTACAGAATCTCCCTGCCCCCTCCTAAACGGTCTCCCCTTTCCACTGGGATCCATGCCCCTCCAGCAGGCAAGAGCCTGGACTTACCGCTGACGCCCCGCTTCCTCAGACACCCCCCAAACCCTTCTGGATCTGGTCCCGCCCCTACCTCCAGGCCCTGCGCCCTGGGAGCCGGCGGCAGCTGGCCCCAGCCCCTCCCCCGGCCCCCCTCGTTGCTGTGGACCGCAGGCTCCCAGGGCGACCACCCCCGCAGTGAGAGTATACAGGTGAGCCCCTCACCCCCCGATGCCCCACAAGGACATCCATCCCTGGACCGAGCACCTCCTGCCTCCGAGTCCAGTGCTTGCTCCGTGCCAGGGCTCAGCGGCTGGCTGCCCGGGGCACCAGGAGGAGGGGGTTACGAGCGCCTGGCAAGTGCCCTAGGGCTGGTCCTGACACAGCGGCTGGGACAGGTCGGAGGGAGGCTGGAGTGCAGGGCCGGAGCAGGGGGAAGGAATAAGAGCGTCCCCAACACAGCGGGGCAAGTCACACTTGCTAGGGGAGAGTGCCAGCCCACCGAGGGCCACCACAAGAGAGCAGGGGCCAGATCAAGCCGCGGCAGGGCTCTCGCCTCTGCCCTGTCCCCAGCACAGGCAGCCCCAGGGGGACACGGCGGGATCCCCGGCTTCAGCTGCGGACACTTCCCCGAGCCGCCCCCAGTGCCTGCTTCTCAGGACCTACTTCTCCCGAAGACTCTGCAGCTCCTTCCTGATGTCCGCATCCTCAATCTCTGAGTCGTTGTCGCTGCTGATGTAGGATGACTGGGAGTGGAAGGAGGTCACGCTGATGGTGGGCACCTTCACGCCCACTCTGCTGGGTGTCTCCGGCCCCGGGGAGCCGGCCCGCGAGGACCTGTGCAGGAAGGTGGTGGCCTTCTTCACCAAGTCACTGGCCACGCTGCCGCCACTGGGCAGGGAGGCATGCTTCTGCGCGGGGGGCCTCCTGCGCGGACACTCATCCCCAGAGTCACTGGACACCGGCTCACCCGCGCCGACCTCGATGGACGAGGCTGTCTGCGCCCGCCGCACAGCCAGCTTCACGTCGGGGCTGTGGGGGGCCTCCTTCAGGTACACATCCGGGGGCGCTGAGTACCGCAGGCTGTGGGGGGAGCCCAGGGTCCACTCGTCCTGCATGCTGACCACCGAGAACCGGCCCACGGTTTTGGCTGGTGAGCTGCCGTCCTGCTGTCCTAGATGCTTCTGGGGGGACTCGGAGGCGAGAGTGCCCTGCATCTGGGGGAGGCCGGTCTGGCTGTCTTCCGTCAATGTCCCCAGGATGCTCAGTGTGGGCTGGGCTGAGGATTCCCCAGGGACCCCACTGCTGCGGTCTGCGGGCTCCAGATGTGCAGGGAAGGCAGAAGCAGGGACGTCCTTGAGAAGGCGGGGAAAGGCAAAGTTCTCACCACGCTCCAGCAAAGAGGAAACCCCACCGACCAGCTGGGCGTCTCAGAGAACACTCCTTACCTGGGGAGCACTTGGAGCTGTGGGCAAGCCTGAGGCCGTCACTTGGCTCAAAGATGATTCTGCTGTAGGAACGTCAAAATCGTTACTCAGGTTGGTGTGGAGGACAAGGGCAGGAGTAGGTGCCCTCAAGCTGAATCAGATCAGTGAGAGGGCAGGCTGCCCCCCACCCAAGGAAGGGGGACCTGCAGTGTCTGTGCTCAGCAACTAGGAAAACCAAAAATATTCCAGGATGTCCTACCCCCCTTTTTTCTTAGGAGACCTCAATAACTTGGGGAAAGGAGGGTTCAGCCTATCACCACTCAGGTCCCCGGAGGCACCTGCTCAAGAACCTCGGCCACTACCCTGCCCTCTACACATCTGATGGCATCGCCTGTCCCACCTGCGCCTTCTAGCCCCTGATGGCGTCAATCTGCGTCACAGGTCATCCCTACACACCTGACGTCTCCGCCCCGTCTCGCCTGTCCTCTCTACACCCGAAGGCCTCCCTGACATGACACCTCTGCTGATAAAAGGGTCTCAGGAGGCCCTGCATCAACAGCACCAGTCCCTGACCCTGCTGCTCCCGTGTCTGGGGAAGGACCCTGTCACCTGAGGCTGTCTCTGTCTCCCCATCCACAGAGTGCAGACACGGCGGGGTATTTCTGACCCCCTTTCCCAGGACTGCTGGGTGACAGAGCAGAAGGAGCTGACGTGTGGGGGACTGGGTGAGCTGAGACCCGCACACAGCAAACGACAGCCACAGGCAGGCAGGGGCTGCGCGTCAGCCCGCGGCCAGACGGACATGCTTGGAGCAGGGGTGACAGCCTCCGGCAAGGTCTGGGGCTGTCCCTGCGCAGACTCCGGGGGAGACCCAGACCCAGTGGCATACACCCCTCACCCACAGGCAATGCCTGACGCCCATCCTTACCTACTCCCGGCAGTGGGAACCAGCCAACCTGTCTTTGTACAGCTCCAGGGATGGGGGGCTCACGGTCAACTACACTCCCTCTCTTTCTGGACAGCTCCAACCTCCAGGAACGTTTACCTTTTCCAAACTAGAATCTGCTTCCTTGAGCTGCCCACATTCCGGCCCTCCGGGAGGAGTGCATTTGGGAGTGGCTACAGCACCAGCCTCCCGGTGCCGCAGGAGGGGCCCAGAGTGCGTGTCTCGAGCACCGAAGTCAGAAGATGAAGCAGGCACTCCTCGTACCTTCCAGCACGTTCCTGCTTTACCACCCGACCCTCACTTCCCCAGGGAAACGGCACACAGCTTCCAACCCCACTCACTGCCGGCTGTCCCCCTCCCTCTACGGTGTGCCACCCAAGCATGCGGCATCCAGGGGTCTGACCAGATCCCGCAGGCCGCTCCCCTCATGCACACGGGCCTCATCTGCCTCGGACACACACCCAGGGGCCTCTCACGAGGTCAGCTGGATCCCTGCCTTGCTGATCTCCCGAGGAATTGCAGGCCAAGAAGAAACCCCACACCTTAGAAGATCAGACCAGCGCCCCTGGGCTGAGACACAGGTGTTCCCACAGAGAGGGGACCCTCAGAGAAAGCCCCGATTCAGGAACTCGATGGCCCCAGCCTGACCGTTTCCACAGACCTGCGGGAAGCCCCCAGCCCCAGCCCTGCGCTCTACCAAAACGGCCTTCAACGCCTTGTAACCTTCTCAAGAACAGGGGCTAGGGGGTACCTGCCAGAGCGCTTTGAGAGCATGGCTGCTGACAGCCCTAGTCACAGCCCGACACCCAGCCATCCGGGCTTTCACCCACTTCTACAGAGAACTTTCTCACCTTGGGGCATGAGCATGTCACGGTTTGTAAGGAGACACAGTGGGCTTTAACCTACACCTCATGATGGGCTCCTGCTATGTCTGAGTCCCACCCAAGATGCTATGGGGATGAAGGATGCAGATGCAGGAAAGCTGGTAGCACCTCGTGAGCACTGGGGTTCTGACGGGTGACCTGGGGCTCATTACCTGTCACTGGCGAGGACCCAGCCTGGTCCAGCGCAGCCCCCAGCCCCAGAGCTGTTTCTGACTTTCCCAGCTGGAGGAAGAAACAGAAAGAGCCATGAGTCTCGCCTGCTGAGCTCTGCAGCTAACCAGCGGATCTCCTGTATGGAAGCCGGGCTCCTCCCCGGGCCGCCCCAAGCAGACCCCATCCAGGCCAGGTCCCAACCCTGCACACACATCCCAGTTCCCCAAATGAGCCACTCTGGCAACACGCACGGGGTGGGCCTCTGAGAACGGGACAGTCAGGGCCAAGAGCGGCAGCTCTGCATGCCTAGGGAGCCCGCCACCCCGGTGGGACCAGGACTCACCACAGGCTGGGGCTCCAGGGCCAAGTCTCGGTCCCCCGCCTCCACGGGGGTCCCAGCCAAGGCTGAGGAGGTGGGCATGTGCTCCTGGTAAAGCAGAGTTCGGAGCTTCTCGTCCAGGCTCTTGATGGTGCTGTCCACAAAGCCCACCCTGGGGGGCGGCCCCTCCCCATCTGACTCCAAGGCTGAGGGCGGCTGGGGGGGCATGGTGGGCCCCAGGGGGGGGCTGGGGATCTGGGGGGTGGCCAAGCTGATGGCCCCCACCGCAGGGGGGAGTGGGGGCAGGGGCTGGCCCAGGGCAGGCTGAGGGGTCCCACTGGGGGCACTGGGTGCAGGGGCCGGAGCCCGCAACGGCTCGCCCTGGGCAGTGGCCTCCCTGGCTGAGGTGGGCTCTCCCAAACCTGTGGGGTAACGGGGGGCCTCCAGAGGTGGGGCACAAGGCCCTGCGCCTGCACCCAGAGGGTGTGCAGCAAGCTGGGTGTCTTGAGTCTCTGCCAGTGGCTGAGGAGTCTCGCGCTCACTGGCCGTCCCCTGAGAGGTCCCTGGACCCCCTGCCTGCACAGCAGTCCCCATTGCTGGCTCTGGCTTGGGGATGGCAGCTGGTGCAGCCGTGTCCTGGGGCAGAGCAGTCACAGGAGGGGAGGATGGCGCCAAAGGGGCTGGGGCACCACCAGGGATGTCCCTGGGGCCTGCTTGGCTCAGAGGCTGCGGACTGGCTGGGAAACTGGATTTGTCCTTCAAGGACAGCTGGTCTTTACAGGGCGCGGCATCTAGAAGAAACAGGAGAAACGCCTCTGCACCAGCCTACTGTGGTCCTATTTACCTGGCACGTCTCTGGCCAGAAAGATGCCTTCTACGACCTGCAGGCCCCGCACACTGGCCTTCCGTCCTTCTCTCCAGTGCACCAGCTTCACACATGGGCTGCCCCTGCCTGAGATGCCTTCCGAGGTCCTGCAGCAGCCTGGCTTCTCTCTTCAGGCCTCCGTCCCACCACTGTCCCCTCAGCAGAGGCATGCCCACTCCCTTCCCTTCGCTCTTCCTGCAGCACTTGGCCATCAGGCATAACCCGCTCCTCCGAGCCCCCACCTGCTAGGGGAGCTACATGAACCGCGGCCCTGCTATCCTTTCCACTGGCCCATCCCACAGCGCCATAAAATGAACGTATCGAAGCAAGGTGTCTGCCCAGTGAGGCCCACACCCTCCCCCGCCCCCGAGTGAGCAGCAACGTCCCACGAACAGGCTTCGGCGAGGTCAGAAGCACACACCACCAGCGCCCTACCAGGGGCTGGGAAGGGATCATCGGGAGGAACCCTGAGACCCGGGCGATGGAACACGGCTCAGCGGCCTCCTGCCCAGGACCTCCCCGCGCCTGGAACATCCAGAGGACGCAGGAGGTCCTGTCTCCCGAACTGACTTGTCCTTTGAACCTACTTCACTTAAAACTGCATAAAACAAAAATGAGAAGCTTACAGAGATCAAGTGGGGAGGGAGAGCGCCGGGATCCCCCGCCCCCGGACTCACATTGCCCCTCCCCGAGCAGGTCACAGAACTCCACATCTGGTTTTCTTTACAGCATCGCCATGTAAACATGTGCTCTAAACACCACGGCTCAGTTCTCCCTGATTTTGAATACCGTGTCCACAGGCCCATGTTCCTTCTTTCCTGTCTGGCTTCTCTCTCGCCACCGTATCCGGGAGGCGCGTCCGCATAGTTTCACTCCCTGATGCTCCCACGACTTCGAGCCATTGAGCTGCTAGTGTGACCTGCTTGCTGCCCGTCTGGGACACGAGTGACACACATGTGTGAGTCTGCCTGGGCTCATGTGCTGGGCATACAGCCCACACGGGGCTGCTGGGTCGGGGGGCTGCAGCCTACAGGAGGGGGTGCCCGAGCCGCCCCCAGAGCAGCCCCTGTGCTCCCGCTCCCCCAGGTCATCCTGGGCAGTGTAACAGCGCCTAACGTGATTTCGCTGTTTGTTTTATTGTGGTGGAACACTCAACACACGATCAACCCTCTCAGCAAAATTTTAGGTGTACAATGCAGTGCTGGTGTCTGCAGGCTCGGGGCTGCGCGGCCAGTCTCGACACCTCATCCACCCCGTACAACTGAAACTCCATCCCTCGAACGGCACCCCCACCCTTCGCTCCGCTCCGCTCCCATGAGTTCCAGGACTCTTGGGGGCCCTGTCAGCGTCAGCAGTGTTTGTCTTTTTGTGACCGACTGATCTCACTTAGCATAATGTCCTCAAGGTTCGTCCAGGTTGTTCCCAAACGGCAGGATTTTCTTTTTCAAGGATGAACACTATGTCCTTGTAAGTAGCTGCCACATTTCATTCATCCATCCATGGAACATTTAGGCCGTTTCCGTATCTCGGCTAATGTGAATAGTGCCGCAGTGGACGTGAGGGTGCAGATCTCTGGGATACCGATTTCATGTCCTGTGGCTAGGCACCCAGAGGGATCACTGGATCAGAGGGTAGCTCTTTTTAACTTTCTGAGGAACCTCCATACGGTTCTCCAGAGTGGCAGCACCAGCTTGCATTCCCACCAAGAGCGCACGAGGGCTCCGCTTTCTCCACATCCTCACCAATACCTATCTTCTTCTGTTTTTTATATTAGCCGTCCTGACAGGCACTCAGTGCTATCTCTGTGCTTTTCGTTTGCATCTCCCTGGGAACAAATTAAACTAAGCACCTCTTGGGTTAATCTGGATACCTGTTTTCACACCATACCTGTCCACGTCCCTTGCCTGTCTTTCCGTAGAGGTGTCATGCTTTCCTTTTTGATGGACAGGAGTTCTGTATGTGTGCGGGATAAGAACATTTTGTTGCTTACACGTATTGTAAATATCTTCTCTCACACTGCAATTTTACCATACCTATTTGCTCAATTAGTCTTTTAGTGAACAATACTTACTCATTTTAATGTAATCAAATGTAACCAACTTTTAGCCAGTCTTTCCTTTAGCACTTTTTGTGAAGATGTTCTAGGTCACTTGTACATTGAGAGTCACAATCCACTTGTAATGAGTTTTACAGTATGAGGTTAGAAGCAAGGATTATTCTCCCAGTGTGGAGAGCCCATAGTCCCAACTCTTTGTTTTGTTTTGTTTTTTTAAAGATTTTATTTATTTGACAGAGAGAGACACAGCGAGAGTGGGAACACAAGCAGGGGGAGTGGGAGAAGAAGAAGCAGGCTCCCCGCCGAGCAGGGAGCCCGATGCGGGGCTCGATCCCAGGACCCTGGGATCATGACCTGAGCCGAAGGCAGACGCTTAACGACT